TCCACCATTCACTGTGTCATCTTCAGTGGGAGCAGTCTTTGGAGTCTTTCTTTGGGCGTGAACACCTTCGTTGGGAGATATTGCATCTTCGTATCCGGTATATCCTTCTCCTACTATTTTGGTTCAGATCTAGTTTGGTTCTTGGTTCAAGATTGATCCTTGAAAAATGCAGTTCTTCTAAAACAGGGAATGCGATTCCCACTTGGGAGAGAGAAATTTTTGAAATTTCGGTTCTTGGTTCAAGATCTCTCATCCCTTCAGATTGCACAGAAGTGTTGGCTATTAGAATTCAGGAGCGGTATAAAATAATTGTAAACCAAGAAGAAAGAGGCATCACAACCTAAGGATTTCAGACCTATTAATTTGGTGAATAGCTTGTATAAAATAATTGCGAAAGTGTTGTTCCTCGGGATAAAGAAGGTCCGCCCCTAATTTCTCTTCAAAGACGCAAGCCTCTTCTCAAATCTCTCCACTACCGGAGTCCTTTCATTCTTAGGGTTATCTCCTAAAGGGAGGCCCAAGTACATCAAAGGCCATTCTTAGATTGCACAACCTAACACACCTGCATAATTCCTTAACTCCCTCTCCTCCACATTCACCCCCACCACACAACTCTTATCAAAGTTCACCTTGAGGTTAGACATCTGCTCAAAAAGTTGTATTGCTAATTTTAAATTCCGGATCCAGCTTATATTCCCACCCTCAGAAAACAAAATTGTGTTATTTGCAAACTGGAGATGTGTCAGTGGTACCTCCTCCCTGCCAACTCTCCACCCTTTTATCAGATTCCTCGAGTATGCTCTATGGATCAATCTCCCAAGTACATCAGCCATCAGGGTAAAAAGAAAGGGGGAGAGTGGGTCTCCTTGTCTTATATCTCTCAAAGCAGGAATAAAGTCAACCACCGTTCCATTCACCTATATAGAATAGTGACAAGTCCTAATACAGCCCAAAATCCATTTACACCACCTATCTCCAAAGCCATAGCTTCTCAACACCTCCACTAAAAAAGACCAATCCACTAAGTCATAAGCCTTCTCCAAGTCCAATTTGCATACCACTCCCTTCTTCTTAGATTTCCTGAAGCTCTCCAGACTCTCATTTGCAATGTGGATTTGATCAGTGATCT